TAACTTGGTATTTTGTTCGTAAGAACATTTTTTTTTTTTTGCAGTCCATTGACATGATCCTAGATTGACCTGAACTACGTGTTCGTGGTAAGATCCTTTGTGCGCATTTATAACAATAGCAATATAAGGCAAACAAAGGTTTGTCAGTGTAGATAATTATACACAATTTTTACCAGCGAATCAGTCACTAGTGAGCTCTAATTTTCGCCGAAAAGTATAAGATATATTGTTATTTTAACACCCGCTCCTTTAGCTGACCTTTTTCTGTTGAAAATCATGAAAGTCTTTCAGAAAGGTGTGGAAACATTTATTACAGGCCATGTTTTCAAAAGAAACAGGCTATAGCAATACCATGTTTACTGCCATTTTTACTTATAAAACCGGTTCTACCCTATAACCTTTGAATAGATCAACCTAAACCACGTATCACTATAACATTAGTAGGGGTGTGTTAGGCCACTATTAACACACTGCATTGTCGACGGAATTTTTCGTTATCTCCCAATCATGACAAGTAGCACATGGCGGATGTGACCGGTGTCGCATAATTTACGTTCCGGATATTTCGCGTTCCGGCCGAAACCTTAAAATCATAATTTAGGTTCCGGTTTTTACTGTAAGTTTAGTTCCGGCCATTGCTTCAATCTTCGAATCACGATATCTGACCAGATTTCATTTCACATTGAACCATAAAAGTAGTGCTTTTACTTGAGGTTTTAGCATGACGCAGCACCATGTCATTTTCGTGGGCGCAGTGTTCTTTTTATACGGTGTCATGCCCTTTCTGTACAGCCATTTTTAAAATAAAAGAATAAAATTATAGCCTCGATCAGGGACCGACCTATACACTAATCTAAACATGTGCTTTCTAAAACATATGCGTTCACCATACAAAATTTGGTCGCATTATATAAGGATTTGTTTAGCTTATGGAAATCGGTGAACCTACAGATCACAACCTTTTGTTCATTCAGTGCATGCCAGGTGTGAATCTCTCGCTTGAATGCGCGCAACCGGTATTATAAACAGATAAAGAGGATAGGAGATAACAAGACTGGGATTACAAAAGCCTAATGTGTAAAAAAAAAACACAATTTCAAAGATTTAATAAATTAATTAATTCTTGTATTATAATTTGATAAAAAGTAAAGAACAAATATTGATAATTATATATTTACTTGCAGACATGCATTCTCTGTTTAAATATTAAACCTGTTGAAAATTCCACGAAGTCGAGTCTCAAATACGTGGCTACCGTTTCTTACCATTAGATATTACTAATGTAATGGCATGATAACATAGTTTATGTTCCATTGGAAATATATGTTTAAGGTTTCGTCAAAGGTCAACATGCCTAAAAAATATTTTTGCAATAGCTCCAAAACTATGTCTGGTATAAAGTCAAAACGTTTAAAGTTTATAAATATATCATAGATTAATAGACAGAAAGTATCACTTGATAACAAATATTTTTTAAAAAAAATTTTTTTGGAGAAAAATTGTATCAGAAAATGTGCATATTTTAAAAGAAAAATGCACCTGCTTTATTCTGCCCTTTTTGTGAAAAACATCATTGCAATAATAATATATGTTTATCATTGAAGGGCAAGTTGGACGTGAATGGTCTCTGAAAGGCTGTTATTGAAAGCATGACATGTATAAAGAAAAGACCCCTTTAGAACCCGCCATTTGCAATGTACTTTCACTTTCAAGTCTTAACATTTGGACAAAATAAACAGGGAAAACAACTTTCCAGAGACTATCTAAGTCCAACTTGCCCTTCATTGATAAACATATTTTGTTTCTGCAATAATGGTTTTCACTAAGAGCACGGAATTAATTAGGTGTATTTTTTGAAAATATATGCATTTTTAAGAAGAATTTTTCTCAATTACTATTTTTTCCAAGTATTTTTTTTATCAAGTGATACTTTCTATCTGTTAATCAATGAAAAATTGATAAACTGTAAAAGGGTTAACTTTATACCTCATATAGTTTTGGGGCTGTTGTAAAAATAAATTTTTGAACATGTTGACCTTTGACGAAACCTTAACTTTTTACCGGTAAAGATAATTGTATGGTTCCTTTTAATCGTCGGAAAAAAGTACATGTAATTGAAATATGAAAAGTATAAAGACAAGCTATGTTGATAGTAATAATTGGCTCGGATTTTTTAACGACGTTCGATCCTGATATTAAAAGTCTTAAACTTTTTGTGCCAAGTATATTTTTAGTTTCTACATACATAACTTAATTAAAATTCAAATCAAAAAATGGGGGTCAATACGCTTCTTTTGGCGCTACAGTACATTTAATATGACCTTTTTGCACTGAAATTTGTGTCTTAATTAAAAATTAAATTTTAGACGTTTTCCCTCCAATATTTTTATCCAATTAAAGCATGAAACAAAATGAACACTTAGTTTGTTTAAAAAAAGACACTTCAAAATTGTGACTAAGAAAAATTTTTTTAATTGCTTCGCATACTCAATTATTTGACCTTTTTACACTAATAAAATGTGATTTTTCCGTCATTGAAAATTTAATAAGCAAGAAAATTATTTTAAAGTCTTAAACTTTTTCTGATTATAAGCAAATAGGTCAAAGGTATCTTGAATATTTAGAAAAGAACATCAATAGTGGGGGTATATGATGTACATTTTCAGATATTACTAAAAAAGTGTCAATTTTATGTTAAAATTGACTAAATTTTTTTCCCGGGTTTTCAGAATATATTTACTATTATATTTGTCACACTTTGTTGAAAGGATTCATAAGAAATAATTTGATAGATATTTCAGAACCAGCGTAACACATTTCACTGCAAAAAACAGCTTTGTGTGCAACCAGCATGGAACAATAGGAATCCGAAATTAAAAGTACTGTTATAGTTCAAAGGGGGAAAATCTGATCATTTTCGTCTAAAAAACCTTCCGCCACAAAATATAGTCCCTAGCTTAATTCTACTTAAATGAAATTTAAGCTCGGTTTTTTCATTGAATATAGTTCAATTTGCATTGTAGAATTCAGATTTAATGTTAGAACTTAAAAATGATGCAGAATTTTATAAATAATGGACATGACCAAAATACACTCAAAAACTCAGGATCCAACGTCCTTAATAAGACCAAGTTTTAGAATAAATTGTAAGTTTTTCTTTGTTGTTGTTGTTTTTTGTTGTTGTTGTTGTTGTTTTTTTTTTAGTTAAAGGTCTTAAAATACACATTAAAGTTTCATCCAGGAATGATAAAATTTAAATATACATGCAGGACCTGTCACGGTCAAAAGGGGATGGTCATTCTTCCATGGCACCTGATCCCAGGTCTGTGTTTGCTCTGCTCCTATTTTGTATCCTTTAATGGACTTTTGAGCTTGAACCTATGTCCTCAGTACCCCCTTGCTTGTCGTAAAAGGTGACTTAATGGGGCGGTTTTTCGGATGGGACGGTATGAACCGAGGCTCCGTGTCACAGCGGGTGTGGCACGATAAAGATCGCTCCCTGCTCAAAGGCCGTAAGTGCCGAGCATAGGCCTAAATTTGCAGCCCTTCAACGGCAATGGTGACGTCTCCATATCAGTGAAATATCCTGGAGTCGGACGTTAAACAGTATACAATCAATCAATCAATCAAAAAAATCATTGATTTTCCTGAAAAAATTTTAGCCAAATTAAACCGATTTTTAAAAGCAATTAGAAAAACGCGTATAATTAAAAGAATTATTTCAACGAAATAGGGGCCATTTTAAATTGCTGTATCGTTTTGAGCTTTGTATTTCATGCAGCGTCAATGCATCTGTTGAAGTCAAAGAAAAGAAACACAGTTCATTATTTTTATTAATACTTTGATTAAAAAATATTTTTAAAAAGCAAGATGTATATGAAAGTTGATTATTTGTATTCATTTCATGAATACTGTGATTGTACCTATTTATATTAGTTTTCCTGCAATATTTTAGCAGTGACTCTTATTGGTACTAGTAATTCTGTTATTATGGTTTTCAGTTTTAACCACAATATAACGTTTTTTTCTTTTTAAATTTATTGGAGTCGATAATGTAAAGGAGGAAGGACAAAAACTGTCCATTCGTGAGAGAAAGAACTTCTCATAAGGACCGTTGTTTTTGTCTCTCAGAATATGGACAGTTTGAGGTATGGCCCTCAGTTAGTTTTTTTTTCTCACAGAATGGACATTTTAAGGCTTTTCTGTATTGTTCTGAGAATTAAATAAAAAAAATGTATAAAACTGGTATCAGATTTATTTGGAATTGATTTTGTGAGGAAGCACACATACATATTTTAATTATTTTCTATGGAAATAAAAACTGCACCAGTGTTGTGTTCATACCGCAAAATGAGTCCTTGGTGGTGGATTCAATTTTCGCAGTATTTCGAACTTAGAATGGATTCTTCTCGAAAGAATGATGATTCCGAAGTATCAAATATGACATTGTGAAAATTGAGTTTTGAGTATTGAAATAATGTGCATTATTCATGGAAAAGTGTCAAATCTGGATACTGAGCAGATATCGTGTTCTGGGTTAACAAAGATCTAAATGCTCTTGGTGTTATTTACTTGTAAATTAAATCGTTTATCTTTAATGCATCTGCGGTTGTTTCCCTCTTGGACACATTCCAAAGTTTATCTATAATTCTCCATTCTGTTTGCGTTAACTGTCCCATCCTTTTTAAAAAATATCCATTCGTAAAAAAGAATTGACTGTTAAAATAAGACGAATGGACACTTACAATGTACAGGTAACTTAATGTAATGTTTGGGTAGTTAGCTCAATTTTCAGCTATGGAATGGAATAAAAAATCAAATGAAACATATGAAGATAAAAGTATTCAAGATCAAAAGTCCATAAAACAATACAAACCAGGAGCAGAGCAAAATCAAAGATGGATGGCCAAAGAGAGGACTAAGTTTGTAATCCTAAGGCAGGAGCATAACTATCGATTTCAAATACCAACATTTTTTTCAAGAAACCGCAATGACACAAAAAAGTTTTGCAATAAGTTTATTTCAAAGCTTGCTGAAAAAACATTCCGGCAGTTTATTTTTGGTGTTCATCTTTTCAAGTTCTCAACCTTCAATCTTTTCAGCGGGTTGTAGTTTGTCATTCTTTGACAGTCGGATAAAAATATAACACCCAGCATGAACCCGATTAAACCGTATCCTAATATAAACCCTATCCCTCGGGACGACATCCTGTGGTCAGGGGCGCTGGTTTTGGACCTCCAGTATGATCCTGTGGCATTTTTGTGTATTTTGAGTTCCTTTGTAAGCTGCGATATCCTTTCCGTTAAAAAATCTATTGAAACATTCGCTAATTTATGAATAGTTGATGAACAACCACAATCTATAAAAAAAAAGTTTTCATTGTTCTTTAATTATTATTAATGAAGAAAGATATCAACATATTTTCGAAAAATTGCAAGAGCACTGACGATTTTTGCCTAAAATATTTCCTTTTTGCAATCATTCGCTCATGAATCTCTAAGAAAATGCCTTATAAATATTTTCAAGCTTGTGTACAAACGTTACAATGATGTTACACTGTATATGTTTAAAAAAGTACACTTTTCATAGAAAGAAGCACACTTAATTACCGGTATACAATTTGTTCACACATAAAAAATAAATGCATTCGCACAAACTAGGTTATGTATGCTTGCAAAATTATACTTGTGTTTATAAGACCTGCTCTGGAATAAAAAAAAACATTTTGGAACAAATTGGCTGTCTGCGTGTGTGTGTTTGGGGTGTGTGTGATTAATTGATTATATGTTGTTTAACGTCCCTCTCGAGAATTTTCATTCATATGAAGACGCCACCACTTGCTGGTGAAGAGCTACAAGTCTCCACGTTCCACAGTGGGATTCGAACTCGCAAAGATCAACTCCTTACTTGGCGACTCTATAGCAGACACTCTAACCACTGCGCCACGCGGGCGAGTGTGTTTGTGTGAGGGTGTGTGTATACTCGCAAAACATTTTATATTTTCAACCTACAAGAAGCTATACTTATTAGAATTCATTAAGGTCTTCTGTCGTCATGGAAGACCTTATAGCGATTCTATTGTTTCTTATTATTATTATTTTTCTGACCATCTAATTTTGTGCACGCGATTTCTCGAAGACTACTGGGTGGATTTTCAGGAAATTCTCAGAAACAATGTGTTGTAATCTGAAGTTATTTTATCCGAGAGATTTTTTGGAAATTCGCTTCCGGTGCCAAGTTACAGACCTTTTCCTGAATTTAAAATGACATTTTGTCCGCGGTTAAACTCAAGAACGGTAAATTTAAAGACATTAATGTGAAACTTTCAGGGATTATAGATCGTGATATTCGCTATCCAGGACGCGACCTTTCGTTCGTCGTCAGTACTTCCTGTTGTTTCCAGATGAAAATTTAAAAAGTCAAATTTTCTAACTTTTTTGTTTTTCAATATTTTTGAATTATTTCAATATGTTTAATAGAACTCCTTCTAATTGGCCTTAATATGTTATTTGTTTATAAACTGATAAATCCAAACTCTAGATATTAACATTTGAAAATTCGAAGCGTATCCAAAATGGCGTCTGTCTCTGTCAACTCCGACATCTAGCGCGTAGGGGGTTATGGTGTCAGCTGAGCGTTTGGTTGAACGAAACTAACATAAGGATAAATGAAATGTAAAAGAGTACTTTGATTGTCACGTAGTAGTTACGTTGCAATTCTGTTTTAACTAAAGTTTTAATTCGAGGTCTTCTCAAATTGGTTTTATCTGGTTCTCAAATTAGAAAAAGACGAAACTACATGTACAAATAAAATACTATATCTACAACTTTTTGTTTTGCATTATGGAACAACAGATCTTGAATCACGGTTAATATACATGTAAGCATAAGTTTATCAAGAAACAATATATTCAGACAGTAAGTATAAAACGCGGCCACTGTTTTCCCATGCAAACTAATAGAAAAGAATAAAATAAGTAAACCATTTTTCAAAAGATCGTTTAATGAAGTTTATGTAAACATTTGTTTTCTAATAGATCTAATTCAAGTTATTGAACATAAATGGTATCTTAATTCTTGACCGTCGTTGGGTGAGGCACGTTTTTCAGTTTCAGTTTTTTAATGAATGTGTTACTAATTTGGAAATTGAAATATGTTAAAGAATCATAGCCATATTCCACTGCTTTCGTATTACTTGCGTATAAATGATATGTTTTATTGAACGTATTAAATGACTTTTAAAACTCACAATTTAAGCTATAAGAACGTTCCTAATATCATTGAAGCTATCACCCTTTTTAATAGAACTTTCCAAAGAAAAGGCGTGAAGATTTTGGCGCGAAATTATGAATAGTGACCTTAAATTAAATCTTCTTCCTAAATTAGAAAACCTTTCACAATTTCAAGACAAGTATACTGTTGCAGAAATATTTGCAAATAAATTTAGAAGAGTGGTCCCAATATAGTAAAGGTAGGCGCGTTGGAAATACTTGCTGGTAACCCTGGTTCAATCACCCATCTGTACGAATTTTTCAAATTATTTTTTCAGCTCGATTTTACAGGGTTTTTTTTCAGAATCGGACGGAAGACCTCTCGTTGCTCGCAACGAGATCGTTTCTAGTTAAAATTATAATTCTAAGCGTCGATATTATCACTGTGTGGGATGTAAACTCTTTTTTGTATACCTGTACATACAGGGGGTTCACTGTTCCATACCCGACCAACCATGCAGGTGCGAGTCAGATTGCCGCCAGTAAGGAGGGACCCGGGCTTACATCTGTACGTTGTTATACCATTACAAGATGTATTTTTCGTAACCACGTCCGTATTGTTGTATTCTATCATTTCACAATCAGTATCTTGTAAAACAAAATGAATATGAAAAAATTCTTGTATATGTTGATAATAAGTCAAAACTGAATTTAAAGAAAACTAAATTTTTGATCTTTTTATTGTCAGTTGCATGGTTGTCATTTGCTTTATTCAAAGGAGTATCAACTATCTACTCACTAGTACTTAATTGATTAGGATAAATATTAAAAGAATGCCAATAAATGTGCTGTTTTAGCTCAATAGACGAAAATCATAGAAAATTTCAAAAGAAAATAAATTTATAAGAAATAAAGCTTAATACAAAGAATCTAACGAACAAACATTCATGTAGTAATAACATCTAGATACTAGAGACAGCACAAAATAATTTAATCAGGGACCAATATATATTATATAGATCCCTGTTTTTAGAATAATAATTTCATACAGAATTATTGCACTTAATTTTATGATTCAGGGGATCCAAATAATATAAATTGTAGAATGAAATTAACAGCCTCCTATTGACGCACATGTATACATTTTTTTTTATTCTAAATACTGAAATATACAAAAATCGAAAGCCCATCGTGTTCATTTTCCTTTGTTAAATTTTTTTTCGCGTTATAATGCGAAACTTACCAAATAATAAAATGAATTTTACTTTCTTGCATATGTTCTTCGATTGTTAAATTCGAGAAATTCTTTAGACTGATTATTTTTTTTAAAGGAAAATCTCCACTTGACATTTTTTCAAGCTGTTTTTTTTTTATCAGTATCGTTTACTGTACAATTGTACCACAAATAAGTTAAGCATTTTGAACTAAACATTATACCCTGTAGAACTATGGCTTAAAAGTGAGTGAAAAACTATCACATGTAAGGTATAGAGCAGAGTTTGTACACTTTGAATTAATTGTCAATGTTTTCGTAAGCAATGGAATGACCACGTGACGCCATCTCAAAATACGATGTCGTTTTCTACAGTGAATCCAACGGAGACAAATGAAAATCTTCCATCCAATTTTAACCAATGTGGTGGGATACAATTGACCAATTTACCCCATTTTGTCAATTAATTTTCTGAGATCGTGATCTTTATAAAATCATTTTTCTTCACATTCTCAAGAGAGTGTAAAAAAAAAATGACGCCGGAAAGGGGTGATTTTTTCCCGAAAATTCGAAATCATAAGTTTACATATTGTAAATTTTGTAGAACTCGGATAAACTTTGAATTGTTTGAACAGCGTTGAGAAAGACAAAATGTAACGGTAAAAGGGATTCAATAGCAAGAAAACTAAACATTGTAGCTCGTGAAAGTCCAAGTTTAAAATGGTCTTTTGCTTTTCACTGTAATGAATAAACTTCATCACAAAATCAAAAGAAAGTTGAGACTTATGCAAATATAACAAAAAGTTTTGCGTTAATTCGCGAAACTTTTGCGTTATAACGCAAAAAGTTTGAAAATGTCCAATAATAAGTTCATATGATCTTCATGAACATGTCATGAACATTTCATGAATATGCGTTATTCGCGAAATTTTTGCGTTATATCGCAAAAGTTCGCGTTAATTCGCGAAAGTTACGCGTTTATTCCCGAAAGTTTCACGTTATTATGCGATAAATTTGCGTTAATTCGCGAAAGGTACGCGTTTAATCGCAAAAGTTTCGCGTTATATTGCGATAATTTCGCGTTAAATCGCATGTTACTTGTTTATTCCCGAAAGTTTCGCGTTATAACGCAAAAAATTTATTCAAATGAGCTCAATAGGCTTTCGTACAAAAAACGTACAGCAAAATATTAAGATTAATAATAATTTTAACAAGTTTCACAGCCTTTACTTTTATTTAACCATACTTCATATACAACATTCCGAATTTTAACGATATGCATAAAAATGCAACAAAAAATCCTGAAACCAAGTTATTGATTAGCTATAGAATTCTGCAAAACATATAGTACCAAATAGGCAAAACAAATCTAGTTAAGACAGCAGTGTATAATTTTTAAATGTAATATCCAATTTCTTTATTTTTAAATGTTTGATTTCTCTTGTGGATTTTTAAGAATATACGAGTTTGATCTACAAAACTGTTGTCAGTAACACTGAACAAAACTCATTTGAACAGCTTTTTATGTTCTTCTTTGAATTTTTCAATTATCTGCTTAATTAAGATGATAACAGTCAAAAAAACCTGCAAATAGTTCGAAATGTTTCTAAACTCTAGCTTGTGTCATTTTTTCTAATGAAAAATTCTCGATCGGATGTTAAAAATATACAATCTCACAATCATATTTGCAAAATGTGTAATATGTCATATTCAAAGGCAGTTTCCGAAACTTTCCAAAATTAATCAGTATTTTTTCTTAATTTCCAAACAAGTACTTGTATATAAAACTCAAAAATTTCAAAATCAAACGTAAACTTGTATCTGATCATGTGCAAAAGAGCTTCAAATCTAAAGCTGATAGTTCAAATCATTTTTGTCAAGAATAAAAATGATGAACTAAAACTCCATCTACTTGAAACTTAAAAAAAAACATTCAATTGTATCTTCATCGGGGTATCACACTCCAAATATTAATATCTCAAAGTTTAATCTAACACAACAACAAGAAAGCATCGAAATAATGTAAAACTATGGCACTTTACCTTCAGTAAATCTCCAGAAGCTTTTGTAATGTGTCATTACAGCGAAGTAATTTATTTCATAAGATGCCGGTTTGGTTTCAGTAAGCTTGGTGATTCCAGATGATCTTGATCCTTCTCCCACATAGACATGATCGCTGTCCCAACTGACCCAGAACTGAACAAAGGTTGAACCATTCAAAATATCTGGGGTACTGACTTTTTTACATTCAACACTTTGTGCTCGAATACAAGACTCTGTATTAAGCCATCCACCTAGAACAATCTCATAAAATTGACTAAAATCCATTCTTGGTGTGGAAGTGTCATTGGTCATTAGAGCGAAATGGACATCAGTTGTAGCATTTACCCAGAATTCTATGTAAGAACGACCATGGGCACTAATACAATAGGAACTCAGCTGTTGATAAGTTACATTTGATGTCAGTTCAATGTTAGAAGCAGCCATCTCTAAAATGTTGCAAGTATATGTTTACCAGTCATTTCTATAGAGATATATAGATTTTTCTTTAATGTAAAAAAATGATTTTAAAAATATTAAAAGTGTTTCATTTCCAAAGGCGATTATTTACAATATTATCGTAAAATGAAACTCACGGTATAATATACAAGTTAATACATGTATCTAGTTTCCAAAAACATCTATAAAAATGCCTGTACCTTAAAAGATGGTATTTTTGTCAGACAGGAACGTCATCAGTTGGTGCAAAGTGTCAAAATTCGTTGAAAATAGATGCAAACTCACCTCTGATATTAGGAAATATTTCTATAAACCATAGAAAACACTGCATGCGGAATAACATCCTGATCAGCTAGATGAAGGTGACCTGAAATAATCTTAAGGTATACGACCCTTACAAGGACCTTATTTCCTAACCTTAAATATTTATGATAATTAAGAAACTCTGATATTATTTCAAAGCATTTTAGAGTTCAAAAAGATTAATTTAAAGAAATTTTCAAAAACTTTATTACTTAAAAGGTAATTACAGTGTAGTTGTTGAAGATTGTATTGAAGTCTACGAAAACAAGTAATCTTTTGTACTAAAAATTAAATACTTAGCATATCAATAAATGTTGTGATGGAAAGTTTTATTTGATCACAATGAGTCGAAAAACAATTTTTACTGGATATATGTTTTGCTTTTAACTGAATAAAGTCTAATGGGGGATTAGCCTTCAAGAACAGGTGAAGATCATAAATAAAAATATGTTCTGCTCTTACAAATTGACTCTAAAACATGAAAAAATTATCTCTAGATTTACTCAGTTTTCAGTCCATTCTTCTCTGAAATGCATTCAGTTCCATTGAATCTTTTGCAAATATGAGTCGGATTAACCTAATGAGATTCCCTGGAAAACCTCCAGGTGTTATCATCTAGAGCTTTTTAATTCTTTTAAAAACAAATAAGTTTCAATTAGTTTTCCTTGACATTAGGAATAATTGTGTATGGTTCATGCTCAGAGCAAACCATGAAATGTACAAAAAGTAGATCACTTATTTTTGCACACCTAATTTTGGCATTATATCAGATAGTCAATATACTCTTTATTAGCGAAACAAATTATTTTCACGAAAAAATTGTGGTCAGTGCTTTATATAATTTTGTTTTGATCATGATAAACACTTTCTTGCTTTCAAAAATATTCTTGATTGATTAGGAGATTGACAGAGAAAGATTTTCATCCATTTATTTACTTTCATTTTCTTCCATTATTAAACAACGATTACGAAATATAATTAACTTATGTTTCAGCGAACGTCAAAATTTTTCCACGAAATATACACATTCTTTAAATAAAAACAAAAAGTACTCATTTAAAGCAGAGTTATTTTAGCAGCAAAGAGCAATTTTGAGCCATCTTGTGCATAAAATGGCCCTGTAAATATATCAATTAATGAATACATTTTCCATTTTCATTTATCAGAATAATATTAATACATGGTGCTTTCTTTTTGTATCTTTTACTTTTAAGAATAAAAATTGAAAACCGGCATTTAAAAATTGTAATTTTGTTTTGAAATTTGATAAAAATACTTTCTTGCTTTCAAAAATATTCTTGATTGATTAGGAGATTGAAAAAATAAAACATGATTTTTGATCCATTTATTTACCTTTCACTTGTATTCCATTATTAAACAACGTTGTGCTTTATATGAAATATAATTAACTTATGTTTCAGCGAACGTCAAAATTTTTCCACGAAATATACACATTCTTTAAAATATAGATATCTTAAATGTAAATAGATACTCATTTAAAGAAGATGGAGTGACATATATTCAGAACAAATTTACTGAGGTAACTCAAAATGTACTGAATGTACCTTTTACAGACAAGGATGCATTACTGGATCCAGTTTCTCTGCCAAGCCACTTCCTTACTCCTTACAAATATATCAACTGCTGTAATGTAAAGGGTGAAGCGTTAAAAAATAATCTTATGCAATACAAATGAAAGGGGTATAAACGACGTTTCAGCTTGGAAGCCGTGGTATCATACAATTTAAAATGCATAGGGAATCAGAAGTGTCTAGAGAAACCTACAAATTTGATAGGTATGTTGTACTTGTAGTATTTTATAATATCAATTAAAGATTTTTAAAAATATATAGCAAATTAAAAAAAAGTAATATAACAAAAACACATGGCAACGTTTTTCGAAGATTGTCATTGGATAGTAGATCTGAATATTACGTGTTTTCATGTTCATATTGATGTGGTGTCTATTGGGGGAAAATACTGTAAGTATATTTCTGAAGACAAAGTTTGTATTTTATATTTTGAAATGAAAACCAATACATGTACGATGTACAATGACAATTTTCAAAATAAACATGCATACTAGTACACGTATTCTCTAAATTAGCTCGAAATTACACGTATTTTGCATCTGTAGTATTATGGATTTTTTTCTGCCTTTTGTTCTTGTTAATTACGCAGGTTTAAAATTCCTGTGACAGGAACAGTGTAAGATTTATTAGGTCTTCAACCTTTCTGTGGAAAGATATCTTGTATGAGATTTACATGCATATTTGGCCTCCTTAGCGTAAGACACAAAGACTGACGCGCATGAGATTTACTTAAGGAATCACTGTATAGTTATTATAGTTTGCCAGGGCATCAACAATAGTGGGAAACATGGGATAATTTGCATAACGGGCGAATTATCCCATGTTTCCCACTATTGTTGATGTCCCTGGCATACTATACTAACTAGACAGTGATTCCTTATATTTCCATTTCATTGTGAAATAAAATTATAGATTTAGACTTTATAAATGCATGCAGACAAAGATTTAATTTACACGAGGATTCCCATCCCAATTTCAATAGTCCTCGCCCACTGACGTCAAACACAACGGCAGCCGCACGAGATTTTCATGCATATTTGGCCTCCTTAGCGTCTGACTCAGAGACAGATGCGCACGAGATTTGCATGCTTATTAGGCCTCCTTAGCTCCTGACCTATTGACCTGCCTAATTTACATTCCGGTAGAATTATCAAGAAATTAACTCCGCTAACTTTCAAAAAGTTATCACATAGAGAAAAGTTAGAAATGGAAATATATGCATATTAGGCCACTTTAATAGCTCCTGACGTATTGATTTGCCTAATTTACATTCCGCTAGAATTATCAAGAAATCAACTCCACTAACTTTCAAAGAGTTATCACACAGAAAACAAATAGGGAATATTTGATAATTATATCATTGATCTACTCTTTATCTTGTTGAAGAGGCTACTTCTAAAGAAATTAATGCTTTTGCAAAAAACGGATCTTACTCATTAAAGTTAATCCGGAGTTAATCGATTTATTAACAATAGGTTTTCATAAGAAATAAGGAGAAAATATTGTATTCCGAACAAAGCTATACTGACGTAAAGAGTGCTACTTTTTGTAGCTCCTGGATTGAATCAATCTGTTTAGTATTTCACACTAGACATGTATAGAAACAGGATAAGGATTATAAAGATCAATGTTCATTCACGCAAATCAATCCATGGTACATCATTTCTTTTTTGTATACGCACAAAAGATTAAAAATTTGAAGACGCATTTCAGCTATTCTTATCGTTTATGAATGTGCACGGGACACAGTTAATTCTTAAATTCTATCCAGTTTAGCTAATTTGCGGAAAACTTTAATTATAGTGTATTTTAATGTTGACAATTACTCAGATTTGTTTAAAAAATCACCAAGCTTGTGACCAGGACCCTCTGCATAGCATCCGTGGGTAAATTGGTATCAAGTTTGTTCAACTGAAGGCAACACTCTCTTTTGAAAAGGGTTGATTAAGAATTAGTGAAAATTTACAAATGCTTTTTCTAAAATCTTATCAAGAACCATCTGTCAATAAAGATTAAATTTTGAAAGAATCAGTATAGTTATAAAGTGCAAAGTTAAGATACTACAAATCATGCATGGGAAAGGTCTTATTTCTTTTTTCAAAAAAATGCAATGCAGTGATTGGATAGTTATTTTTATATGAAAGCACCCTTGTGTATTGTAGATTCACGTTCGTGAAATCATAATCCCGAATCATGATGAAGACACAAAGGGTGATTTTTAAAAAAATGAATTAAGATTACATGAGAAAAAACATATGAATCACTCATAGACATCATTTTGTAGTTTAGAGAGAAATCATAGACATTTTTTCATTTTGAGATGTCGGCTTAATATAAATGCATAGAAGTTGAGTAACATATCTGAAAAGCAAGAGATGTTACAGTCACCTTTTTGACCGTGGTAGTGGTTGACCACTAGAGCTCCCTTCTGATTATGTCAATATTGAGAGTCCTCAATGTTTATGTTGTGTTTTCATTTGCTTTAAAAAATTCAAATTGCATTCTGCCTTCTAGAATGTGGTTCACTTCTGAATTTCGAATGGAGAACTCCAAAAATTTATTAAATGAAGCCATCATATGATTATAAATATAAATCTATAATAAGTACCCTTTTTAGACCTTAAAATATAAATCAAGGGAAATAAAAAAGATAAACAAAACAAGAACGCCATATTAATATAACATGTCACAATACTCTTTTAGAGAGATGGTTAAAATAGGCTTTGTCTGCAACATAATCCCATTCACTTTTCTTGTAAATAAAATAATGTAAATTAAACAACGTCAAATATTGTACACCTTATAATATTACAAATTAATATTGTATCTAAAATGAAATACATAAATCAAAAACATAAACAGGAAAATATATGCAAAACAAGTACCTACCTACACAGCAAAAGGTCAAAGTAGACAGGTGTTATCCTTGTTTAACCTAAAATTGATCGATATTTGGATATACAATAGGCAATTTATTATTAAACCAGTGAGAGGCATATATGGATTTCCAAAGCAAACTGATAATTCAAAATGATTAAAAAGCAGATTTTACAATTATAGGCCTACATTCACTATTTCAATTTTTCTTCAAATTTCTTCATATCATGATCAGACATAATATCTTCATTTTTTGCTGTAATGTTAAACCGTGAAGCGTTTAAAATATAATCATATAAATACATGTATGAGAAGTATAAACACGGAAACCTAGAAACTTAAAACAGTTGGATCGGTTGCCAATGAATTGATCAAGGATACACGGCAGAGTTAAATCTTGTGAATAAATAAACCAATGGTCTAAAATTTTGTATAAAATAAGTCAGCCATAATACTAACTACTACGACCAAATGATAGGCCATATTTGCTTACAAGGTCATTATAACTTATCAGAGAGTAGTCAGTCTTGTTTTAAAAATTCATCGTACTCTGGGCAAATTCATAAGTAACGAGTAAATTAGGAGACACACCATATG